TCGCTGTAATTGTTATTACGTCTTATTAGTTATTACCAGCTATCATTGTAAAATCAAAGTAATCAATTCATTAATTTTCTAAAATCTAAAAATCTCAGAATCTAAAATTAATCAGTTATGCTTATGTTTAGTTATGTATTGTATAAATAAACACAGATTTTTAAAAAAGTAGTAGGTATATAGAAATGGGTCTATATAGTTTAATATATTTATATACTATTGACTCAGGAGCGGTGCCCAAGGTGGTGATTTTAGGGTTTCAAACCACTCCTGAAATTACTCTTAATTTTATTCTTATTTTTTTTTATAAAATAAAAACATATATATCTAAAAAAATTAAAACCACCCCGAAACAAAATCCTGGGCATGCCCAATAATTGAATGCATTAGTTTAATATTGTCTATAGTTGAATTTTGCCTTGAAATTATTTATTATAATACCTCAATTTGTAACTTTCCTATAGCCACTCTTCTATAGTGATAAGTACTGATAACTGATTTTTATTTATCAAAATCAAACTTCTTTACTAACTTTACTGTTCGATCAAAATAATCACGTTTTAATTTTTCTACAAACAATTTGTTCTCGTGGACCGTAGACCGTAGTATTTGTATTTTACCAAGGTCAGTAACCTGTTTCAAGGAATATTTCTACAAAAGTTATAAGTTGTAACAAATATTACATTTATATACAGAAGGCGCGTCAAACTGAAAGTATTAAATGGAATTATATAAATAAAAGTAAATAAAAATAAAATTAACTATGCCAAATATCTTGAGTAGTTTACTATATGCGGCTCGCACATAATAATTTATCGAAAAAAAAAAAACATTTTATACTAATTTTTAATTTTATTTGGTTTAAAATTATAATTGGTATTTTACTATACTTATTCAATTACAGTTTATCAGAAGATAAATCAGAAAAGTATGTTAATCGTTACTCGTTGTGACAAGAAAGGAAAATTGTGTAATTGTTTTTTTCAATTAATTATTGTTCATTAATATTGCCTATTTGTATCCACAGGCTATAAAAAAAACGAGCCGTGGGCCACGTGTTTGATATGCCTAATATACAGGGTGATTAACCAAGCATACTCACTCCTCTTTTTTTCATTTAATAATGGGTTTATTCAAATTTTTAAATTTTTGGAATTTTTAATTTTGCATACACACGAATAACTCGGAATAAGATTTTTTTGTACTGTTATTATAGCAGTATCCTGTAGGTTGTGGTGACACAAACTTCTGTTTTTCAAAAGAGTCATGAGATAATGAGAACCCCACTTTTCGACTGTAAATTATTTAGTGTATACCTATTATTTTTTTAAATGTTGAAGTACTCAAAATTTAACGAGTATTTTTTTAATTACACATTGAAATAAATATATTAAGGATAATTGTCAATAAAAATAGTTTTACCAAAATATAAAATAGATTAATAGAAATTGGATATCTACTAAAAGTTTCAAATTAGTAATTACTAAGTATATAGCCTCCCTTATATATCTTCCAAATCTATGATCATGGACGATGGACCTAATATCCTTATACACAAAGTTAAATAACTCAGCAACCACTATTTCAAATTATAATTTTAATTTTCACAAAAATTATTCGCTAAATAATTTACAGCGGAAAATGAGGGTATTCTTATTCAAATAAATATGTATATAAAAAGGAAATAGCATTCTAATAGAAATTTGAGGTATCGTAGATATTTTTTTATTGATTTTCGTTTCTATACAAAGCTTTAAACATAATTGGTTTGACAAAAAAATAATGTATCCAGCCCAAAAACATATCTTTGTTAAAACAGAATTTGTATGGATAGTACCTATAGCAAAAATCTCAATAATTTGATATACCTAATGTACTTAAAAATGTTAAAATTCAGAATTGGAATAAATTCATTAGTAAGCGGAAAACAGTGGCGGATTCAGGGTTGGGAAAAGGGCATGGGTTAAAGTGGGAGGGACGCAGGAGGACTCAGTCCCCCTACCTCTGACGGCGGTTAAAAAGCGTTCCCTTTAACAAATTAGGATTTTATACATTACACATTATACATTACACATTATACATAAATTTATATAATATGGAACGCTTAAAACTATATGGAGACATTAGTGCCCTCTGGAATTTGTTTTCCCACTTTAACCCTTGGAAAAGCGGGCATCCCTCCCCCAATCGCTGTAGTTTCCCTTTGTTTTACACTGGGTTTAGCCAATTTTGTAGCAACATTTTGTATTTTTTGTACTTCCCCCCATTCATCTAACACCAAATTAAACTCTGGATCCGCCACTGGCGAAAAATGGGGATGAGCAAGATTGGTGAATCAACCTGTATACTGATTGATCCAAAAGTCCAGTATCACCCTTAGTATGTTCGTGGCAAATGTAACTTGAAAATCAACCAAGTGCGAAAGCACAATCTAGAGTTGCTAACTTCGTGAGCATAATAGTTATTAGTTATGTTGGCAAAACACAAATAACAGCAAAGTTTAATTAAACTCGTCGTTTTTTTTTATATCAATCTACTTTGTAACTATATTTTGTTTTTAAAATAAAAAAGATTTATGCGTTCTCAGTACATAAATATCGTTCGTATATATATATTAAAACTTATGTCAGATATTTTTTCTATGCAAGGACAATTGAGGAATCATAGATATTAAGAAGATGTCAGCGAACTATATGTTTGCTCTCTGGCCCACGCGCAACATAAACAAAACGCATTTACGCAGAATCATTTTTTCTATGTTTTTAAGTAATCTTAGAGTAAGATCACCCATTACAAAAAAGATAGAGAATAATATTTTAGAGGTAATGACATATCAATTTTATATTTTATTGTTATTTGACTTTCAAAATAAACAAACAAATTTTATTAATTTAAATGATTTTAAATTGTTTTGAAATAATATTTAGACAATCGATAGGTCATTCCATTCAAAATGCTATTCGCTAGCTTTTTTGTAATATGCGATTTTACTCTAAGATTACTTAAAAACATAGAAAAACGATTCTGCACAATTGCGTTTTGTCTATGTTGTGCATGGGTCAGTGAGAGAAAACAAATAGTGCGCTGACATCCTCTTAAGATATAACTGGTATGTTTTTGGGTATATATAGTGCAGTGGAGAAATATCTATAAATATCAGCATATGCTGCATTTTGTTAGGAAAAATTATTTATTTTTTTTGGTTTATATGTTGATTTGTATTTGTATAATTATATGGCAATAAACAAAACGTTACAAAAATCGGAAAAAAGCTGTACGCAGCCTTGATCTATGTTAAGAGAACGACATACGGGCGGACATTATTGTTGTCTCGTGTTACAAATGTTACTCTCAGAAGATCACGTTTAGCTTTATTAGTTTAAAAATTAGAGTAAATTGTCCTCTTATAAAATGTAAAGGTAAGATTATTATCTATAGGGCATCTCATATTCTCATAGGCTTTTTGTTATATTTTAATTTTAAAGCGAGTTATGAGTATTTTAAAATTGTACATCTTAAACTACCAATAATTCGCTTTAAAATTAAAATATAATAAAAAAACCTATGAGATGTCCTAGATAATAATCTTAGCTTTAAATTTTATAAGAGGTCATCACTCAAATTTATAGACTAATGGAGGCAAACGTGATCTACTGAGCTTAAAATTTGCCATGTTACGCACTTGTAAGATGGAGACAACAATTAATGTCTGTGTAACGTCCACTTTATTACATCCGTGTTACTCCCAAAATAATGAAATTTGAAGACAAGCTGCAAAGATATGGAATTGAATATCCACTGACAACTATATACAGGTCATCAAAGCCATCCAACAATGTTATTGTTATATCAACATTCAACGCAGATTAATGTCTCAATTTTTGGAAACCTGTAAAATTGCGTTATGCCGAAATTATAATACGGCAAATAAATTTATGGCACATAGAATAAAAAAAAACTACATATTTTAAGATTGTAATAAAAAAAATGCACATTTCAATCGAGATTGATTAAATCATACGATTCGTGCTTTGTTAACATATTTATTATTCTTACGAAGTCAAAAACTTAATTTGCTGCAACTTGGTTAAAATTGTTTAACTTAATTTTAATATTTTTGTTTAAGAAACTGTTTCAAAAAATTTGAACAAAAAATGTACCTGTCTTGAAAATTTAAAAACTATATAATTACATAAAAAACATTTTTGAAAAAACATTTGACTCTTGGCCATTTAATTGGAATTTCCAATATGTATTAGTTATTAGTTATTACTGTAAAAAACTGCTTTTAAATGTACCTATATTGATTTTCCACTGAAATTCTAAGGGTGCTACTGGACTTTTGGGACATACTATATATAAATAAATACGATGTACTTAACACTTTAACGGTATTATTTGTATTTAATGTATATAATTCTAAAATATACAGTTAAGATAAAATGTATAATGACCTTGCTGAGATGATAGGCGGTACCTATTTGAAAATAACCTGCAGTGGAAGGACGGCTGTGGCACAAAATTGTAATGATTATAGTCTGTTAACACTCATAAACTCATTAAAGCTATACCTATGAACGTACATTTTATACCCTCATATCCATATGATATTAACTAATAAGTAATAAGTAATCGGAAATTATAATATGCGCATAATTATATAATATTATATTGTTCAGTATACGTGACAGTGGTGATACGCCTACACCTGTCACCTACCACTTTCGACCTATATAATATATATATACCTATGTATAGAATATATAAATAGTTGATAATACCTAGTCCAGAAATAGAAATTTTAGGATTCCAAATTTCACGACATCACAGTGGTATAAAAAGTATACACCTATATAATTTTTTTTTATAATAATATAATACTAACAATACATATTAGGTATATCACAATCATTATAGGATCGATTTTTTTAAATTAAAATGTCCATTAATTTATATCGTATTGCTATTCACTATATACAGGTACGCTTTAGTAAGGCAATATGAACAGTGGATTCGTTTTTTCCGCGTCGGTGGTCGTTATTCTCGTACTGTCTGCCGCCGTACATCACGTGTGCGGAGATTGCTGGGACACCGGCTGCCAACTGGATTCGTGGCTGGTCAAGGGCTGCGATGAGTACGGCATGAAGGAGACAAAGCGCACACCGTGCGCCGGTGGCAACGTGTATTCATGCTGTCACCAACACAATCCGATCGATCCCTCGTTGCAATTAAACAAACTCGGAGACCTCACCTATTACGAGTTGGGGTTGACGGCGTGCGGCCAAGTGTACACCGACGAAGACATGGTCGCGGCGATAGCGTTCGGTCATTTCACCACGCCGAATCCCAATTTAGATCCCATGTGCGGAAAACGGGTGAAAATAGTCGACCCGGGCACGTCAAAATCGATCATTGTGACTGTGAGAGACAAATGCGAAGGCTGCAAGATGAACGATATCGATGTGTCTCCGTCTGCGTTTGAACAATTTAAACCGAAAATTGTTGGCAGATTCAAAGTATTTTGGGATTTTATTTGATAGACAAGCGTATTATACTATACTAATTATGGTATAGTCGTTTGGACTACACCTAGTTTATAGATATTTTATAACCTGAAGTACCTCACTGGAGGCTTCTTCACTCACACTATACATAACATCCATTATGCTTATTGTATCATTATAATTGTATCATTGTGTATAAATTGTATAATTTTCTATATCAAAAATAAAAATAATACGAGATATATGCATTATTTATCGTATATGCATTTTACAAGTGCGTAGTGTACTGCAATACAATGTATCTACATTCTACATATGTGATATCTACCGCCAGTAGTATGTTGTAGGTAGTGTAATATGTACCTATAATACCTACCTAATTATTGTTTTATTGTATTGCAGTATGCAATTATTAAATTAAAAATATTAATTATAAATATATTATTATCAATGTATAATATTATAATATTATAATATTTTGGCAATTTAGCGTTTCTTACAATTGTTGAATTGTCCTTTATATTCTTTTTCTTTTAATAAAATGACAATAAGTGAATTGCTTAACATTGCATTACCTATATATTATTTATTTATTTTATTTATATTATATTTTGCTACCTACTAATATCTGACTGTTGTCAAGTTGTCATATTATAAAATATAAATTATTAAATTGTCTGGTGTCGTACTGCAGTGGTTAGTAAAAATTAGACAACATTATCAAATATTTTATTATTAAATTGTGATAGTATTCTTTGCTTTTATAGTCAATATAAAATTGATATACTACCTATAAAATATAAATAGTGTAAATATTTTGGTATTGCACATTTGAATTACACAATATTTAATTAATTATTAAAACATTTTTGGATTAACTTCTACAATATAACGCAATGCGACTACATATAAACCAAATGAAAACCACACACAAAGACCCGGTGCTAAAGAGACAAACCGTAGCTGTCCGGCATCCGCCGACTGCAAGCTGCAAGTACATGGATATGGACTGCAGACAAGCCATATTTATTAGCTATACCTATCATATAGTTGGTATTCGTTAGTTACGATCTCTACGGACTACGGTTTAGAACTATGTAGTAATGAGTAGTCGAGCTTTGGACACCACAATATGGGGTACCTGGGAGTATGTTTTTACACAGGATCTGTAGACACCAATTCGGTTGCAGCGACCGAGTTTATAGGTACTTGTTACCTAGTTCTTATAATATAATATGAAAGCTGCGTGATCGCCACCGAGAGATATGTTGTACCTTATAGTACCTACATGTGAAAGCAAAAAGACAAATACACCTGTCACCTAACTATTATAAGAAAATGGCTAATTTATAACCATACTGGTGTGGTATTGGTAGTAGATGTAAATTTAAAACTTTGCTACGCTTCGAATGTATAGTTTGGGAGACACTGTGCAATTATAATGGTTAATATGACAATAATATTACATACAAACCTACATCGAATACATTTATACGAATGATAAAAATCGCTTTGTTTTGAGCTGTGGGCAAAATCGATTACTATCCCCTGTCTTTTTTTTTTAACAATTTTCAATGTCATGCTCACGAGGAGTGAAGAACCTGTAAGTCATATTTATTCAACTCATTGTTTGTTAGTTATCCAATGGTTCAGGTTCAAATTGCATTAATCAATTTAGCATACAGTCACGATTCGTATTAATATTGTATAAGTATACGATGTACCTATAGGTATATTAAAAAAAAATTGAATATCGCAGAGTTTCCACAAATAATAAATGAATTGGTATAATAAAAAATATTTTTTTCTAGGAAATGAATAATAATAAAAAATAATTTTTTTATAGGTACTGAATAATAGTAAAAAATTATCCATACACAATTATCTAATCTGTAATAAAGTACGATATTGCTTATCTTATAGCTTTTAGGGGGGCATAAACTTCAAAGTTCAAATAAATTTTTTTTGAGAGGGGGGCTAGGTTAGGTTCCCTTCCCCCGATCATCACCTATGCAACTTACCACTACATTACTATATAATACACACATAGTTATTAAATAATGTAATTGTGTTATGAAAATAAGAATTTTGCGTTTTAAGCCTCTTTAATACAAAATAATAAATATTATGATTGATATTATTTACATATTTTTTCCATTCATTCTACGTATGTATTTTGATAAATAATCGTTATATCTGAATAAAATATATTATGATATCTTGAATTTATGATTATTTCGTCAAATTATTAAGTAAAAGTGAAAACGGACAAGCATTATAAACAAGAAACGGGAGTCGTGTTATAGAAGTTAAATTAAGAAAAGGTACAATAATGTTGATGATTGTTAAATGTTTATTACATAATTTTTTATTATCTCTTATAATGTTATTAATGTTTCAAACATTTGTTTCAACAATTATTATAACATTTGATTTTATTTTTATAATTATTTTTTCTGTTTATTTTTTTCCTCCTTTATTTTATTCATTATATATTAATAATTGTATATTATGTAAACATGATCGTTTTACCATTCATACGTGAACGTCAAATACAAAATAAATAACCACTAAAGGCCTTACTAAAATATGTCCCTAATTTATTATAATCCATTTTCTTTGTTTGAGTTAACTGACTAACCTTACCTGACCCACCTCAGAAGTCAGAACCAATTACGGTCCTACCAAATGTATATTATATAATGATATATAATATCATTGTATGCGATGTGTGCTAGTCACGGCCCCAGGGGAAGGTTGGCCGACGGCAGGCCATGCGAACGACACCGCAGCGCCCACACCGGTAGGACGGATTACGCGCTGGGGTGGCCGCTACCCGCATACCGTATAACCCCACGGGACCGATGAGCGCGCACGCGAAAACGGTCAATGACGCCCACTCACGCGAGCGCGATCACCGGACCCGGACGGCCCACCGGCTACGGTTTCGCCAGCGTTCCAAACGAAACCTACAAGCCGGTGCGAAATCGACCTCAACTACGGATCCATCCTGGGAAAGGGTAAGCTTCCAGGGGAGTATACGCCCTGGGCTAACCCCCGTTCCCGCACTGCTCCTTCGTAAGCGTTAAGAGTTGAACGTGCTGCGCCGCCAAGCCAAGGCTGCCCTGACTTAAAGGGCCTAAAGAATAACTTCTGGACCTCCGCGTGACGCCACCGGAGCGTCCAGCGACACAGCATGCAGTCCAACACCAGGACGCGTCACACGGAGTAACCCGCAAGATGAACACGATCGCACTTTGAGCTAAGGAATCCACGCCGCCACGCAGGGGGAGGCAGCGATCGTTCCTTCTTCACCTCAAGGGAATTCCAGGCCGTTCACTTACCCAGGCGTGGACTGCCGTACCGACCGTGAGTCCTCACGGTGCGTTGACTGAAAACTTCAATCAATGATCAATCTTATTCGATATTTTGTTATTATACAACTCGCATGCCATAATACACAATACACACATCGTATATGAAGTCAGTTGACTGTGCATCAGGAGTAAAATATATTTTCCATTGAAACTTTCTTAAATTTCAGAATGTTATACGTCACTGTTATGAATAGTACGTAGGTATATATAGTAATTGCAGCACTGTACCTTGAAGGCTTGAACCCAAGGGCGGACTTACCATTTTTCAGCCCCTAGGCATTACAGCACTAGCGGGCGTACATTGGCGTTCAGTGAAATAAAAAACGCCATTCACAATATTGTATGTGTTTACGCCGCACGCCCGCACACCCGTATACCACCTCCCATGCATTAACATAGCCAACTCCGGCAACTGCCTCGTCAAGTGTCGAACCTCTGGCAGGCGACAGCACGGCGGTCGCAGGATTAAACTCAAACATCAAGGTTATTATAGGCTATTATAGCTTATAAATTAAAACGTTACTACGTGAGCCCTTCTCCAGTTTCATGCAAGTTGTATACAAAAAAAAAATAATATAAAATATAAATTTAAGTATCTAAATATAATTATGAAATTATGAAAAAGTAAAAAGTAAAAATTAACTAAAAAATTGCACCCCAAAAAATATTGCGCCCTAGGCACGTGCCTTGGTGGCCTATGGGTAAATCCGCCCCTGCTTGAACCATGAATCGTGGTTAGTTGTTAGGTCATAGATATGATAGATACTAGGTACACCTACCTATTTTGATAAAATTCTAAAATATATACTTAAATATAATAAGTATATGATAATTAAGTTTTACATTTTTTAAAGGAATCATCTAATGGTGAAAATGTTTGTTCAATACTAAGATATATATTTTATAGGAAAAGGAGTTGATTTTTGAAAATAGTATTTTATAAAATGTATATAGGTATACTCATATTTGTATTTGTATATATTATACTTTTATTTATATATATATATGTATTATAAAATTGTGTTAAATAACCTTACCAGTTACCTGGACCTATAATATGGTCTATATGAGCATATGATGCATATGATGGCTGCAAAATAAACAAGCCGGTGGTTGCTTAAGGACAAAATATGACGTCGTACTTGGTGGATGGATTGCCGCGACACGTAAACGTGCTGGTAGTGTCGTCGTACGCGTAACTGTAGGCGTCCGGACAGGCCTCCTTGAAGAATGCAGGATAGTTTTTGGGCCACGAGCTACTCTTACAAGTCGCCGGAGTATTGTGGGCACCTCGGCAGCAGTAAGTGTCCGTGTTGAACCGCTCACAGGCGCTCTTGCACGCCACCACGCCGGAGCCAGTCTTGACGGCCAGCTCGGACGGGCACATGCTGTTCAGGTCGGCCACACAGCCGGCAGCTTTACAGTCGTACTTGTCTTTTTTTGTGTACGAGAACTGCGCGGTCGGTAGCATCCTGATCGGCAGGTTGTAGCCGTCCACCAAAGACACGTCGTAGAAGTCTAATCCATCGGACCCGGTGAACGTCATCTCAGCCAGAGAAGCTGGCGGCACGCCTCCGGCCCCGTTGCACTGGATCTTGTTCCCTGCATCATCAAGTCATAGAGTAATGAAATATACGATATAAAATCATCGACAAT